TCCCGGCCACCGCAGCCTCGACCTGCTGGGCTCCGACGATCCTTCCGCCTCAGCCTTCCGAGTAGCCGGAATTACAGGCATGCGCTACCATGCCCGGCTGATTTTTTGATTTTTGTTGTAGAGATGAGGTCTCACCGCCCAGGAGGGTCTCGAACCCGTGGGCTCAGGCAATCCACTCACCTCAGCCTCCCAAAGGCGCGGGATTACAGGCTGAACCACCGAGCCCGACTTGGTTTGACTTTTCAAACTGGATCACTCCTAAAGAACCAAGTTAAGCCACACCTCTAGAAACTCTTCTACTATTTCAGTCCATGTGGATTCTCCATTACTCTCAACTTCCAGGTCACTCACAGCCTGTACGATATAACCTGTCACCTAAAGATTTTCTTTCTTACGTTATCCTGACAGCATTTCATGTACATATAATGGTTATCTTTTTTTTTTTTTTTTGAGTTGGAGTCTCACTCTATCACCTAGGCTGGAGTGCAGTGACACGCTCATGGCCACCCCAGCGTCGACCTGTTGGGCTCCAGCAATCCTTCTGTCCCAGCCTTCCAAGGAGCCGGAACTATAGGCATGCGTTTCCACACTTGGCTAATTTTTGATTTATTGTAGAAACAAGGTCTCGCCAAGTTGCCCGAGTTGGTCTAGAACCCGTGGGCTCAGGCAACCCACTCACCTCGGCTTCCCAAAGTGCTGGGATTACAGGCTGAGCCACTGAGCCTGGCCAATGGTTATCTTTAAATGCATTTGAAACTCTCTAGGAGGAAAAAAATATTCTTTACCTATTTTCTACACGTATTACTTAGTAATGTACTGAGTATGCAGTATGTTCCCAATAAGCTTCCACTAAGTAATACTAGTATATCTATTAGTTTATAGAGCAGAAACACTACTTGAATATGTATATTTTTCAATGACTAAAGACAGGCAAAATTGTTCATCCTTGTGTGAACTCAATTTTCTTCTAATCAATCGTATTTCAATTTCTTACTCAATTATAGGGCTAAATATTTTTCACTTTAGCAATAAACTCCTAGTATCAGGCAATTTTATCAAGGAGCAATCAGTGTTTTTAGAAACAAAATTATTTTAGAAACAACATTATGCATAGGTGTTTATGGTTTAAGCTCACATGCACTTTCCAACTTCATCCTGGATTCTCTTAGGATTTAAGACATAAATATTAATAAGTAAAGTGCTTTCTGAATGCTTAAATATACAGCCTTCATCCATCTCAAGAAACAGTCTCATCAGAATGGAGGATATATGGTGGAATTCCTGGCTTTAGGACTCAGGACTTGAGTTTGAGTTTGATGTTTGTCATAAGTTTTCTATGGAACCTTAGGTCGTGCATGTCTCTTATTGCTTTCATTAAGCATCAAACTAGATAAAACATGTGAAACTACTTTGAAAAGCTTATACATTGAACAGACGTATGATGGTGTTTTCTTTCTGCTTTAACTGGAAACAGAATTATGCTATTGAAAAGTAATTGTTAGATGTTAAAAACACATCAAATTTAACTGTTAGGCTGTGTGCATATTGTCAGACATCAAAAGAAAACTATGTTGATGTTTGGTCTACCAATATACCAACCATCTAGAGGTTTCTAAAAATAGTTTTTAATTCTTTTTTTTTTTTTTTGAGTTGGAGTCTCACTCTGTCACCCAGACTGGAGTGCAGTGGCACGCTCCCAGCCACCTTAGCCTCAACCTTCTGATCTCCAGCAATCCTTCTGCCTCAGTCTTCCAAATAGCTAGAACTACAGGTGCGCGCTGCCATGCCCGGCTAATTTTTTTGATTTTATTGTAGAGATGAGGTCTCACCAAGTTGCCCAGGTGGGTCTCGAACCCGCGGGCTCAGGCAATCCACTCACCTCAGACTCCCAAAGCGTGGGATTACAGGCTGAGCCACTGAGTCCGGCATTATTAATTCTTTATAATGGCAATGACTTTTAAAATTCTGAATAGTTCTATAAGCCCTACTAAATTCAATGGAAAACATTTCATTTAAATTAGTTATTTGGTGATATATCAATTATACACAGTCTAAAATTTGTCCAAATCTCCAAGTTGGTTTTCTGAAAAATGGTCCTTTCATGACATGTGAGGAATTGTTTCAATACTGGAATTTACAAAATAGAACATTTTATTTAGGCAAGGGCCTTTGTCTTAAACACTTAAAGTCATGTGTCATTCTTCCTTCAATGTATACACTAGCTTTTGGTGCTTGGATGGTATTAGGTAGACTTGGAGAGGGCCCATATTACTTTGTCTCCTTCCCTAGCCACCCATATTTTTATACTGTCTCAAGTAATTAAGGCAGAATATTCTTTTACAGTGAGAAGCAATCAGGATTCTGATTCCTTCCTTCTGAGTTTTATAAATATAAATCCATGTTCAATAGCCTAGAGTAGCACCAATCAAGACAAATTATAAAAAACATATTTTTAGGAAAAAAACAAAATAAGATAAAGACACTGAAATGAAGAAGGAAAGTTCAGACTATGCAGCTGTACTTACTGGTTGGGAAGAGAATGAGGAAGAGGTGGTATATTTCTAGACTAATAGAATTCATCCTACTAAATGACCTGACCAGTCTGATAACATTAGTGTGCCTACCTTAGAGGAGATAACTACATGTATGGGACTTCAGAAGTTTGTGTTTAAAATGTTGTCATCATTGGTATGCTGGTAAATTTTTAAAAACTGGTACCAATGTTTATTATACATTTCACTGATATAACATATGTAGCATGCAATTTTCAAACAATACAATCTACAATATTCTTTACTGTAATTCCAAACAGCCAATTGATCCTAATGGAATGTCCTAATTGATTTCCGCTGAACTGTTGTATCTATTGCCAAACTATGTTTGCAAGGCATGACTAAGTATAGTTTCAATATTTTGGTTAATATTTTTATTTTCATGAGTGAGTGAAATTAAAACAACAAACTAATATTTGGAATTTCACTCATTTATCAGAGATGTGAGTGATTTCTTCTTTGAATTTGGTGATATTTTTTAAATAATAAAAATATTCTCTCCCATATTTTGTGCTATTCGCATTTCAATTGCTATGAACAAAGTAAAAGTTAAAAGTTCATCACTTTTTTTTTTTTTTTTTTGAGTTGGAGTCTCACTCTGTCGCCCAGGCTGGAGAGCAGTGGCACATTCATGGCCACTCCAGCGTTGACCTGCTGGGCTCCGGCGATCCTTCTGCCTCAGCCTTCCGAGTAGCCGGAACTACAGGCATGCGCTACCACGCCCGGCTGATTTTTTGATTTATTGTAGAGATGAGGTCTCGCTGCCCAGGCAGTCTCGAACCCGCGGGCTCAGGCAATTCACTCACCTCAGCCTCCCAAAGCGTGGGATTACAGGCTGAACCACCGAGCCCGGTTCATCACTTTCGTAAGTATAGACAATAAACAAAGCAATACATCAAACCCTGATTTGTAGTATTTGCCTCTTCTGTAATAAAATTCTCTGCTATATTCCATTTCAAAGTGATATCACCAGACAGGGAGTAGGGAAGAGGTGTGCAGTAGCACGTGGTTATATAGTATTCCCCTTACATAGCTATGGTGGACTTAAAAATGTAGTATAACAGGAAGTGGTATGCTTTGAGTATTCCATTTGCTTTGATATAATTTATTTAATTGTAAATTTAAATATGTTTGTTTTCATTAGTGACTGAAACCAGCTCACAATACTTTTTAAGCTTTAACAATTGGCACTCACGAGCCTGTACTAGTCATCTTTAGCACTCCATTGGCTTTAATCCTTGTAGTTTAGGCAGTTTTTACTTATAAAAAACTGTTACTAGGGTGTAAGGCCAGGGAAAGGATGTCTTAAGAAGTCCTTTATCCTTGGAAGAATTGGCTGAAGTTTGTATCAGAGCAGTGGCAGTGGAGAGCTTGGCAAGGCATGTCTGAGGACTGCAGCCGGGCTGACACACACACCTAGCATGCAACTTCACCTTGAACACTGACAGTCCCAGCCCACCAGTGACGATGACAGAGAGGATATGAGCATGGAAACAGCTAACACCAGCAGGTGGGGCTTCTTAGGGGGCTGTTGCAGCCCAATCTTTAGAAATATATCTGAGTTTCTATTTCCAGCACAGGCATCTATGAAAACTTGCGTAGTTTCTCTGTTTGCAATAGTGAAAAAGTTAGAGAAAGGAAGAAAGAAGAAACTAGTCTTTTAGTGTGACTAGCCTCGGATCATTTCACTTTGCTCACTAAACGATCATGTGACATATTTTTATTTTGTCTATATATACTGCACCTTGCCTTTCTGTGGCAATACTGCCAAATGACCAGAGGGCAAATTCTCTGTTATATGAAGCGTCAATACCCAACACAAACCTACAGTGACACTCACAAGTATTTATTTTTGAAAATAACACACAGAAAAGCCTCAAAAAATTGTGTTTTTATTGAAATTATGGTTTATTAAATCAACAGATGAATGAAGCCTTCCTTGCTGGCTCAATGAAAATATAAGCAATATAAACTTCTCAAAGTTTCTATACACTTTAGATGTGATAGTGAAAGAGATGTGTATAGAATTATATATGATAAAATGCAAAATGTTTATATTCAATTAATCTCAATACAATACAGAAAAATATCATACTTTATAAGAGCAAGACAAGTTGAACATAGAGGAATAGCACGAGACCTGAACTCTGTTCTCCTTTATGCTGCCAAAGTCTTTATCTGTTAAGTGGTCTTATCTTTTCATAGGCTATACTAGTAAAATGAAAGCACTTGAAACACAAGTCACTTGCCATTTTACAATTCTGGATTGACTGAATAATTCAGTAGTGCATTCTGAGGTGCTTTGGTCAAAGGCTTATTCCTTTTGTTCTCCAAAGGGCAGAACTAAGCCACGGCTTCATGATCCTTAAAAATACATGAAAGATCAGAACTAAATAAATAAGCAATGTTTTTAAGTACATTTATTTATCTGTTGGCTGCATTGGAAAAAATATAGAAAGGAGAATGACAAGTGAAAAGCAAACATCTAAGTATAAAGGTGCAAATACACAAGATTCCTGGCATAATTAGAATTCTTGATTCTTGTCCTGGCAAGGTAGCGGCTCAGTAGAGTAGACTTTGTGATTCACTGTCTGATTAAAAGGGAAAAAAAGTTTGGAAGCCATGGTTATTATAAATAATAAAGCATTATGTAATAATGATAATGAAAATGTGTACAATTTAAATAATATTAATAACCTTACTGAGAGACAATAACATAAGCTGCATTATATGGGTGAGAAAACTAATTAAGTGACTTGGTTTAACATCCCACAGCTAGTTTTTGGCCAAAAAGACTACAACTTAAGTTTTCTGAGCTCACCTGCAATTTATTTCCATGGTACTAAATTGCCTATCTTACACAGTAAGGGACATTTCCATTCCAAGCTCCTAAATAATTGAATGAGTTTTTCTTTTCATTCTTTCTTTTTTGTGTGTGTGATGCTATGCTTTTGGCCTTGGTACAGTTTCCAGAATTCCGTGTAGGGTGGATTCATAACACGGTTCACACAGACTGCTAAATGGTACTTTGACAAATTTTTTCTGAACTTGCCAGTTCTTTCCTGAGAATATGATAGTTGATGGTGTTTGAGTCAATCATTTTATTTATACTCTCCCTGTAGTTTCAATTCCAGAAAGGATTCAGGAAATGAGGATAAACAGTAGCTCTTTCCATATAATGCATTCTGAGTCTTCCCTATTTTTGATTTTTGTTGTTATTGCTGTTTTTATATTCAGAGACTTTTTCACTGAAACAGATATCATATTCTAAGCAATTGGGTTCTCTAGTCCAACTTATCTAGGACTGTGTAAGACACAAAACTAATACTGGATTATGATTCATTGTGACTCTTTAATAAAATTTCAAAATCTTATAGCATGTTCTTAAATGCTTTTGATTTTCTGACTTACTTGCAAATTACAACTATCAACTCTTAACCAAGAACAAAATGTGCTCATCAATTGAGATTATGCCTAAATACACTTTTGTTTTCTCATTTTAGTTTGTCTTAAACTCATCTAACAGAAATTTATACAATCTTTAACACAGATTTTGGCAGTCCTAATCACACAGATGTCAAAGTAGCCAGTTTCCCACAAGCGTATGTCCATACACCGTTAGTTATGTTCATAATAGTTGCTTGTTTTCCTCTTTAAAGTTAAGCTATCTTTAAAATATAAAAGGAATTGTGTTTAGTGTATTATGGAATTCAGTGGAATACCTTTTGTAAATCTGAAATAAAAGTGAGAGAATATTTTGGAACAATGAACGCAAGAGGCCTTACATGGTACGGTTCAAAGTATCTCCTCCACAGTCAGTCCCAGGCTTCAGCTTACAGGTCAAGGCTTCACAGCACAGATTGGTACATTCCTTAAAAGCACACACACAAGAAGGAAAGCGGGCTGAGCATTTTCTTCCCGTAGACCAGGTGCAGAGAATTCTGGTACAAGATGGCTATGAAATTTCACTTTATAAAGAAAATTATTCTGTAATATAAATTCCAGGGGAAATGACTAAGGAAATTTAATAATAGGGAAAAATGTTAGGAGCAATAGAAACTATCCCTAGAAAAGGCAGAAATAGAATTACCCAAGAATTATCCCTCAGTAACTTTTTTTCTAGATGATATTGCATGCAAAGTAACTTAAAATTTCAAGAAAGAATACTTTAATACCCTTTAAGCTGTTCGAAAGTACAGAATTTTTTTTAATCTCCAATTTATTTTACCAAGTCTATAAAATTCTGATAGTGAGACTGGTTAAAAAAAAAAGCACACACACAACACACACACACACACACACACACACACACACACACACACACACACACACAATTCTTATTTATAAACATAAATGCAGAAACTTAAATAAGATATTAGTAAAACCCCAGTTTATTAATATGGTAACTCTCCATTACAACTAGTGCGAGTTTTTTCACCCAGAATTCAGGGATGGCACAACTATATATGACAAAATAACATAAGCTATCATAGTAAGAGACTGAGTGAAGGAAACAACTAATATTATTGTTAGAAATGGCAAAATATGGGTGATAAAAATTCAGCTGATGTTATTGAGTTGTTTTTAAGTAAATAAAAGTAAACTATGAACAGAATGGGAAAGAAAATTGATATAACTAATCTAAAATGTATATTCAACATAATAAAGGAAAAGGCAAGTATTATGTATAGTCTATTTGTATGAAAATCCTAAAAAAAAAATGGCAAATATATAATAGTATAATAATGATTGGAAAGCATAAATCAAATTTTTATTATTTGTATGTAATACAATTCTATGCCTGGAAAAAAAAAACCAGAGAATTGACTCTAAAAAATATTTGCTGAATCTTTAAGATAACAACAAGATGACATCAGACATAGTGCTAATGCATTATAACTTAAAATTTGAAAAATTATGCATACATGCAGCAGAAAAAAATAAGAAAATACTTCAGAATAAACTTTCAAGATGTGCGATAACTGCATGAAGAACTTTATATATAACTTTCCCGAGAAACTTTAAAGGCATCTTGTCTTTGAAGACAGTACCTGATATTGTGAAAATATCAGTAGCCTTCAGAATGAAATATAAATTTAATGCATTTCCTTACAATCTCAACTGTATTTGGGGACAAATTGATGTTTTAAAAATCCAAGGGTCTTATGGAACAATAAACACTGAGGAAATACTCTGTAAATTTTGCAAAAGCAACAACAAAACAATAAAGAGACATGCCATTAAAATACATTGTAAAGTTACAATCGTTAAACTAGTGTGATACTTGGGAGAAATATCTAGACAAAATGATTATTTAAAAAATCTAAAAAAGGGCTTAAATATGTACATAGGAATAATAAACTGGCATATCAGATTTATGGAAAATTGGATTATTCATTAAAGGATACTATATAAAAAATACTTACTTTTTGGGTAAGGAAACAGTTGTTTAAAAATTCAGTTGTTCCTAAGTCTCTAGTTTTGCTCAATGATATAAGAAGAAAATCAGCAAGATATGGAAATATTATAGGAGTTGACTGATATGCTTAAGAAAATTAAACTTTACCTACTATACACACACACACAAACACACACACACACACACACACACACACACACACACACACACACACACACACACACACATATATACAGTAGTTCTCCCCTCACCATACTCTCTAAATATATGCTATTTACCTGCTGAAACTAGAAGTACCTAATATTATGAATATCTTCAATTGTTTTCTACTCAAGAAGCCATTTGAGAATGTAAGCAAGTAAGAATAAGATAAACTTGACTCTAATTTAACATGAAAGTCAAGTATTTTGTAAAATTCCATCTCTCTTTATAATTAACAGAGAGTTTATTCTTTACAAATGATTGTTATACTATGGAGTCTCACAATATAATTGAACCACTTACAATATCTCGTAAATAAACTGAAGTGTGGAGAGATTAGATGCCTTCTCTCTTATCATAAAGTCATCTAAAGTAATGGATAAATCTTGGGTTGCCACCTGCTTCACCAATGATTAGATCTGTGTCCTTGGAACTAGGAACTTAAAGTTTCTGAGCCTCACTTCTTTTTAAAATTGGGACGACAATATGCATTTTTGTAGATTTGTTGGGAGAAATAAATGAGATGGTGTATCTAAAAGCAATTTTGAGATTATCAGATGCATATAAGTCTCTCAAAATATGAACTCTTATTTTTTTGTCTTAAAAGTAAAAAGAAGGTTGTTAAGACAATGGAATTCTCCCTTAGAAACCTAATATGAGATTGCTAGATTGCTAGGAAACATTCTAGCAGAGCATTCTGTAGTATACAGAGATGCCTTGAAGGAGTCTGCTATTCTAAAAATCAGCAGAGTCACAGTGTTTATCTTCTATGTTAACAACTCATTTTCTGCAGATTTATGCGATTTTTTTCTTTCTTCCATGTTTCATTTATGCCTGATTTACACACTGACTGGGGGAGAAAGGGCTAATTTCTCTGTGGAGAGAACTTCCTGATATTACTCATGCAACACATGATCAACTGTGACATTATGTAATGTAGAAATTTCTGGCTAATATGTTTAGAAAAGATCACAAGTGACATATTATAGTTACTGATTTATTTCTTTACATTAATTATATCATAATCATATCCTGGCTTTTAAAATGCCTTTTAAAAGATGACTAACATCAGTAGTAAAAACACAAGCGCAAATCAACTTTTTCCTATGATGCCAAGTTTATCTTTAGAAAGAATTTGCAAACAAACATTTAATGAAAGAAAAGAAAACTGTCATTTTTATGCAGCATAAAATTTTAAACCTTATGTATGGTCATACCTTAGGAGAGCCACAATCACAGTCTTCTCCCACTTCCAGAAGCTGGTTCCCACACTCTGGTTTTGTTATTATATTTTTAGGAATAGGTGCTTGCAGCAGGCAATTTGGCTTCTGAGATAAAAGATATCTTTGAAAATGTGAACGACAGGTTGTACTGAAATCCTTGGGGAATTTTGAACTGTAACCAGAAGAAAATTCAGAAATAATATGACATACCATGCAGTGGCTTCTGTGTTATAAATAAACACAAGAATCTGACTTCTCTAAATGTATTACAATGAAAATTCCAAATTTAGCAACTGTTTTAGGACCGTACTGCATTAAATGTGGTGGGCGGTAGGGCGTGTGTACTATGAAAATTGGAATTATAGATGATATTTTCCCTCGAGACACTGTTAAAGGATAGAATAATTTAAATTCCCATGTGGATTCAGCACTGTCCTAAGTGACAGCAGTGATGACCTCCATCACTTGGTATCATTACTTTTCTTGCCTTGAGGAATGACGGATATGAGATGATAATAATGAACCACTGAAGGGGAATAATTGCAGGCTTCTGGGTTCTATGTTCATATTTTTCTTTTTAATTCATGAGCATTTCAAGAGCAAGGTATATTTTATTCATTTTTCTAGCCTGAGTCTTTGCAAAACTCCTGGTGCTAGCAGGCTATTAATAAATGTGTAAAAATGAATTAATTAACTGATGATAGGGCTAGAAGAATATTCTGTTATCATCTTAATTAGATTAATATTTTTGAGAAACGGTAATACAATTTTAAGTTAAAACTATTTTAATTCAAAATGATAGGTAATCATGGTTATGGTGGCATATTTGGCAATCTTGAATGAGCCCTAATTTCCCAGTTTTGGGGGGAAAAAGTGCCCATCCAGCATATGGAGACTGCGTCTGGAGTCTTTAACATTTAGAATGGTTTTTCCTCCAGGATGACAACATCTCACCTTAGATATTGATTCATCACACAACTACCAGAGGGACACTTGGTATAATACGGAACATCAGGCATACCAAGGACATGGCCCAGCTCGTGTGACATCACTGCTACAAGAGATACACTGTTCTTTTTCGTAGCCTGGAAAAAAAAGTAGAAGCACCTATTACTTCTTATTTTTAGTCAGTTATTTTTCTTTTTCTTTTTTTTTTCTTTTTTGAGTTGGAGTCTCACTCTGTCACCCAGACTGGAGTGCAGTGGCCGCTCCTGGCCACTGCAGCCTCGACCTGCTGGGCTCCGGCGATCCTTCCGCCTCAGCCTTCCCAGTAGCTGGAATTACAGGCGCGCGCTACCACACCCGGCTAATTTTTTGATTTTATTGTAGAGATGAGGTCTCACTGCCCAGGCTGGTCTCGAACCCGCGGGCTCAGGCAATCCACTCACCTCAGCCTCCCAAAAGCACGGGATTACAGGCTGAGCCACAGAGCCCGGCAGTTATTTTTCAATTATTGCCAATGTTCAGTACTTAAAAAAAAATCTCAAGAGATGAAAAATCATGTATCATTAAGCTCCTTTCTCTGTCATTCTTTATTGCAAAATGTTGAAAGAACATTTGAAATGGTTAAGTCCTGTGAATTCAGTCAGTGAATCAATTCTCAACAAATATTTGTTGAAATAACGAATACTAAGTTATCAGAAAATCGTGGTTAAATAAATTATATTCTTCCTATGAAATACTAATAGGTATCCTATCAGAGTTCTTCAAGAAAACTATTGTTATGATGCCTATGATATTGGAGGGCTTGGTCACATAACACTTAACATTCACTTTTCTTTCTTGTCTGACCTCTCTGGTCATAGATGCAGGAGATGACTGACTGAGAGTTATTTCAGACCACAGAGGGCACATGGATCCCCGTTCTGTTACAATATTCCTGCTTTTATTTCCTAACATGAACCAAAGAGTGAAGCCTTTTGGCAAGGCTGATGTAAGGGGATATTCTGTTTCATAATCCAAACAATCTTCAGTGCAATGATCCACCAGTGGCTTCGTTTCTACTTTGATGTATCAATTCAGCAAACGTTCATTGTGCCAGCTCTGTATCAGGCCATACGCTGGTCTTTATAGAGGATATAGAACCACAGGAGTCTTACGATAAGTTTACAAACCTCAATAACAGCAACTGAAGATGGAGAACACAGGGAATTTGAGGCTGCCATTCCTACACGTCGGTTGCTGAAGCCAATCCCACTATGTAAAAGTTACAGATATATTGTCAAAATGAGTCTTTAGCTTTTGTTAATTATGTTAGAGATTCCCCTTGCTGTTCTAGCTTTTATGATACACACTAGGCCCAGAAGAGCTTCTATTAGTCCATAGCATTATAGTAACCATAGATGGTCATTTCACATTCAATAACCCATTCTGTTGATCTGAAATGAGGCTCCAATACTCTCAAATTGGAGATTATTTTTAGTAGTAGGACATCAAGCACTCTGACAACTGATGGGAGAAGTGATTTAGAAGAAATCCCAGCCAAAGAGACTTGGGGACACCTGTCCACTCTGCCCTGGCCCTGGCCCTGGCCCTGGTCAGCATGCCCTCACCTGAGAAGCTGAGCATGGTCGTGGATCTTTTTTCTCCCCAAGTTAGAACGATGCCATCTCATGAAGTTTTTAAAGGTTGTGCCTGTGTTGGGTTCCACCTTGATCTTATCCTCATCAGACCAGATTTCCATACCTACCAAGGCCACTCGAACATCTATTGTTTTATAAATCTGTGGAAGGAGTATTTTTCTTAATGAAAATGTCCAGAGTTCTTTTCATGTTTGAGAACTTTTTGCTGATCACAAGTGATGGAAAAAAGACGAACCACAAGTGATGAATATGATTGTCCACAGTAATGAATTTCCATTTTGAAAATAAAAATCCTAGAAATTGATGTTGATATCAAATATGTGGTTTTACCTTGACATTGGTTCCTGTTTTGCTAAAATCTTTCAGAACTGCGAACCTTAAGGCACTGTGACCCTCTTAACCCCTTCTTGGTGAAATCACAAGAAAGCTCTGGGCCACTAAGCAGAAACACAAGTTTACATGACAAATATCTTACCACATTGAGCAGATTCATCACATCAAACACAAAGTTTCTTATCAGGGTTAGATTCCTCTCGTAATTCTTATACTGTAAAAAAACAGAATGCAAAGTATAATTAAACACAAATTAAAGTAAGAAAGCTGATGAGGTACAGAATTTTACCTTTTAAGAACTATTACACATTTTAATATAATTACAATCTATTCATTCTATGACTAAATTATGGAATGTGTCTCAACAAATTCTATTTCAAATGAAAGAGTTTTTTTGCAGTAGATGGCACAGATGCAGAGAAAAGGGGCACTTATACACTATTGGTGGGAGTGCAAACTGGTCCAATCTCTATGGAAAGCAGTGTGTCGCTATCTCAAGGAACTAAATATTGACCTTCCATATGATGCCGCAATCTCCCTCCTGGGAATATACCCAGAGTAACACAAATCATTCTACAAAAAAGACACCTGCACATTCATGTTTATTGTTGCACTATTTACAGTAGCAAAGACATGAAACCAAACCTTCTGCCCATCAAAAGTAGGCTAGATAAAGAAAACGTGGTACATATACATGATGGAATATTATGCAGCCATAAAAAGGAACAAAATCATGGACTTCTCAGCAACTTAGATTGAATTGGAGACAATCATTCTTAGCAATTTATCACAGAAACAAAGAACTGAATACTACATGTTTGCACTCATAAGTGCGACCTGGATATTCATCCCAGTAGCACAAGGGAGGGATCAGCAGTCACGGGACACTGCCAGGGGAGGAAAGAAGGAGAGAGAATATAACAACACATAGGGTACCTGGTCCTAAACCAAGGGACCAGCTGGAGGCCCAAACTTCACCTATACACACATTAATTATGCATCTAATCCTGACTTATTCCTGAGTCTTTATAATAAAATAAAGTAAAAAAACAAAAACATACACAAAAAAAGTAAGAAATTTTTTTTTTTTTTTTTTTTTGAGTTGGAGTCTCACTCTGTCGCCCAGACTGGAGTGCAGTGGCCGCTCCCGGCCACCGCAGCCTCAACCTGCTGGGCTCCGGCGATCCTTCCGCCTCAGCCTTCCCAGTAGCCGGAATTACAGGCGGGCGCTACCACGCCCGGCTGATTTTTTGATTTATGGTAGAGATAAGGTCTCGCCGCCCAGGCGGGTCTCGAAAGAAATTTTTTATAAGAGAAAAGATAGGTGTTCATATTTTATTATTAATCTTTGTATTTTAAAGTTGAATAAATCAAATGAAAATTAAAATATTTTAAACACCAATTCAATATTTATTAAAATTTGATTATAAAGCAATATTTGCTAGAGACACATAGATTCTAATTTTTTTCTCTGTATATATAAATGCAATTTATAAGTTATATAGTTTTGTGTCTACTTTATATTTACATAATATTTATATTAAGCATATATTCAAATTAAATGTTTGCATATAATTTTAATATTTAATTAACCCATTCTTTTTTATTTTTGTGTTTGATTTTCTTTAGCTATCTGGCACTAAGTATATTGCCAATATCTGAATATTTTGGTGGCAAATTAAAGGGAATGTAGAAGTGAAAAGTACTGGGGGAAGGACAGATAAATGGCCCAGACAACCAGGTGGACAAACTGCACTTTTAGCTAGAATAATTTATTGTTTGCTTTTACTTGATAAGTAAACCTAACAGTTGACTACACTGGCCAAGAGGTCCCATATCTCATACTCACAAAGGCATTGTCCAGCACCAAAAAGAGATCAATGTATTTCTGTGCCTGAAGAAAGTCTTCTTCCTTTATAAAGAATAAAAGAACATCGTTAATTATTATCTTTATTCTAAAAAGATTCAAAAGCTCACAAAGAGATTTTCTTTAGAGAGAAGTTAAATTGAAAAATAAATCACAAGCTTTACACATACCAGTCATTGCTGAGTACACCAGTATTAACTCATATCACTGATGAGATCATTGATATAAATGACGACATAAAACTATACTCACCTCTGGGTTTTTGAGTGACCTAGAGACTCGAATCAAGCCTCGTTTCCTGCCAATATTCTTCACACCACAGGTGTAGTTAGTTGGGTCTAGTTCTTCCTGGTGATATGTAAAGATGGCATGTTCTTTTTGGTTTGTACTTTTCAGAGGTTTGATCATATATCTTTGATCGCGATGGGTGAAGTATCCTCTGTGAGATATAGAGACTTGTATTTCAGGATTCTCTGGCACACAGGATCATATTCGCTGCCCAGAATGAATCGATACCTCTATCTCCATCCCAGTTTCACATATAGCACTGCCATTTGTAGATCTTTCAGCTAACTTTTGCTAATTTTCAATATAATCAGTATTTTTCAATGAAACATGAAACCTAACTTATTCACTAAGAGAATTCTGAACAAGAGTTACTAAAACGAAGCAGATCCCCTAAATTTGGAATTTACACCATGAGTTTGGTAAATATTTTTCTGTAGTTTATTTATTGATTTAACAATGATTTCTTGGCAGATCTGACGAATATAATGAGGAAAGGCACAAAGAAATGTTTAAATATCAAGAATCTCAGAGGGGAGAAAGAATGATTAGTGAATCACCAGAGTCACAAGTTAAGACTGGTAGTAACTTAAGAACGCCTCTTCCAGTAAGATAATTCATTCAGAAGCAGAAAGTGAATGCATATAATGAAACTGTACAGTGCCAACAAGCTGTAAAATTTATACTTCAGAAGTTGTTTTATGATATGGAAAAAGCTTGGGATGTCATGTTAAGCTTGAACCATGCTGAAAGAACAATTAAGTGTTTTATTTCACATAATTCATACTTTAACATCGTGAAAGAAATATTTGTCTATATACATAAAAGGCTGAAAAAATGACAAAACCTTAATAAAATTGATCTCAGAGGCTACATTTTGTGTCTTTTCTTTTTCTTTTTTGTGCTATTTCTTTTCTTTCTTTATTATTATTATTATTATTTTAGAGACAAAGTCTTGCACTATCACCCAGGCTGGAGTGGAGTGGTATGATCGTGGTTTGAAGTTTTGGCCTCAAGTGATCCTTCCCTCTCTGCCTCCCAAAGTGCGGGAATTACAGGCATGAGTCATCACGCCCAACTCACACATACTTTTAAAATTTAAGCTCAACTGGGACAATTGCAGGGTGGTAGTTTTTAGAAAATAAAACGTAACTGTTTCAGGGAATAAGATGGATGAAATTGGAAGTGGATCAAGATATTATTCAAGTCTACACAGTAGGACTCTTGTTCAATGTTGCTAGGTCCAACTTTTTCTAGAGCAGATGATGAAATGATTGTCAAGGTGATATTTTATTCTTCGCTGTAGTTATACATATTCAGCATTGTAACAACAAAGACCAATTTACCAAAATAGTAAAAAGACAACGTCTAGGAAGACTCAGTTCTATGCAACAAAATGCTGCTTGATGTTGAAAATATTTCATAGTGGCTCTTACCTCAATCCATCGCAGGTTTTAATGCTGGCAACTGAAGTCTTTTCGTTTAGGATATTTCCTTCATAGTAACAATGTTCCTGGAGTGGAAAAAAGAAATTATTCTTTGGAAATGCACACATACATATAAATGAGGGGGAACCCAAAACCCCCCACAATTTACTTATTAAAAATTGTGGCCAGGTGTGGTTGCTTAAGCCTGTGATCCCAGTACTTTGGGAGGCCGAGGCGAGAGGACTGACTGAGCCCATGGGTTCGAGACCAGCCTGGGCAACATGGTGAGACCTTGTTTCTACAATTAAAAAAAAATTAGCTGGGCATGGTAGCCCACACCTGTAGTTCTGGCTACTTGAAAGGCTGAGGCAGGAGGAGCACTTGAGCCTGGCAGGTTGACGCAGGGGTGGCCACGAGCATGCCACTGCACTCCAGACTGGACAATGGAGTGAGACTCCAACTAAAAAAAATTGTGTATTTATTCTTACATATTTAAACTTCAGTCAATTTCAAAGTACTCGCCATTTGATGCAACACACCTATAGAGACCCTTTTCCCACTGCTCAGTTTTTGAACTCGTCAATTTTGATGCCTTTTAACGCTTCTGCTGTTTTTGTTTCACCTTTTCCACAACAGCAAAATATTTCCCTTTGAGGACTTTTTTCATCACGGGAAACAAGAAAAAAGTTGCTCAGGCTGAGATCTGGTGAATAGTGAGGTTAGGGCACAGGGATCGTGCTCTTTTTGGGCAGTTTTTGAACATTCAGCAAAGTGTTCAGCAGTTTTTGAACATTCAGCAAAGTGTGGGCCAGTTGTTTGTATAAATCACCCACCATGAAATGGGCAAACACGTTGAAAGAATCTCCAAAAAAAATTCACTGAAGCCAAATGCAGCCTCTTACAACAACACTAGCTGGTATGCTGATGCTGACGGGTTCCTACAACACCTACCTGGCGGGGATCCTCTACTACAAGGGGTCCACCCTCCAAAAATCACAGTTCTTGAGGAAAATTTCCATCTTGCATACATAGACTGTTTCTTAAGTAGTGACTGTGGCCATATCAATTCTCGGAAACAAATACTGTGTGAACCTTAGAGGTTCTCTGAATTGCTCCACAGCTGACCTTTGAAACTCTCCATATCTAGTGGTCGAACTGTTTTTCTGACACTAATCTGCACTGAGGAAAAGTCCAGAAGGTTAAACCTAAGTGGGTGTATGGTGAAAGTGGATGCTACCTCTGAGAACAGCCAATCCTCCTGGAATATATAACACTCTGGTAAGCTCTCAAGATTAGGGGTCAACTTTCAAGAACTTGGGTCCCCTATGCTAAGTCCCAAAGATATTGTGCATCACTTGATAGTAAAAATGAGCCACCTATTTTTCTAGACTCTGGAATACTCAAAAACTCAGAACACCTGTCTACAACTAGAGATTCAGACACGATTGGTGGTTCACATCTGCAAAGTTAGGGGGCCTTGTGTAGATTGCTCTTAAAAAAGATAGTAAGAAATCTTTGGTTCAAAGTAAGTAATAAGAAACGTTTGGTTCAGGGTCTAAAATTACATTTATATTTGTTTGTTTGTTTCTCCCCTTTGAAAGAAATGCTGTCAACATAAACATTTTCTCATAGAAGACTTGGAAGAGGTACTACATTAATGTATTATCAGCCATTAACACTTGAGCATGAATTAATTTATGAGATAAATTCCTTTGAAGACAATGTTAACAAAAATCCAGATATTTATGAAATGAGAGGTTTGTTCAGAAAAGGGAACAAAGAGCTATTTTGTGGCAGAAGTGATGTTTTCGTTGTTGCTGGTGTGTGTGTGTGTGTGTGTGTGTGTGTGTGTGTGTGTGTGTGTTTTAATAGAGATCTACATGTTTAGGCACCTTAGAGGATGGCTCTGAGAAACTCTATTAGCTTGGTTGAGCTTTTTTGAATTTTTTCTCCCTTTTCTTCCTTGATTCTCTAGACCATGATTCTGTGGTGTCTGTGACATCTAGGCCCCGGCATTATCCAGGATGGTGGTTTAACCATATATCAAAATATTAACTAAATAATTGATATTCCATTGCTGACTCCAGAATAAATGCATGTATCTTCAAAAAATAGTAAATAGCAAATACCCAAAATAGTAAATGAGGTTTCTCAAGTACCAAGAAGGAAGGCTATTTCTAATCTGTGGATAACATGATCTAGGGATAAGCGGGGTTTTTGCTGCGTCTAAAAATGCAACTCTTGGAAGCCTCCTGCTACTCTTTTGAAAGCTGACAATGATTTTTCAATCTGTTGTCTCATTGGTCACAGATGAGCACCTTGTCTTCAAGGTTTTTGATTGTTTTAACATTGTCCTTGGACCTATGAATTTTGTAAAATAAGTGGCAAATCTCCCAAAAAAGGCTCAGAAAGCATTTAGACCCTACCGTATTCTCAGGCTTTGTGGTGATCTCCTCTCCTCGGGTTGAGTACAAAGTTTCAGTGTAGTCCGGCCCCAGGAGATGCCTGTGGAGAGCAGAAAACTGCATGAATGACCCGGAGTGATAATAAAAGTGGATTTACCTGACATGGTCTTCAACACCCAAAGGAGTAATAACATCGGTGCTGGGAAGCAGCTTATATTTCGACCCACTGACCATTTTTCAATGTTGGAACTCTGCAGCGGAAGCTAATAAAAAATTAACTCTATCTGTTAGATCGGAGGGAGGAATTCTCCTCAGCTACTTCTCAGTTGCAGATTCTCTTTCTTCAAATGGGTTATTCTGGTATTTTTTGGAATCAAAGACACAGCTCCCACAGAAGAACTGAAGGGTGTAGAGTTACAAATAGGCATCAAGGACCCTTGCATGCAGGTAGGAGTTTATTAAGTACTACAGAATGACGTGGAATCCCATCCCCTGGAATCTATCTCAAGCCTGTACGTCAGGAAACAGCCTTGGTCATATGTTCTTATAAAAGTCGTGGAAATCTTCATCAAAGGTCTGGTGTTTCTATAAGTATAAAAGATGCTCAATGAATTCCCAGAAGGTCAAGGAAGAAAGTCATTTAAATGTGCAGCTCTTCTTCTTTTACACTTTGCATATAATTTCTGAGGAAAGCATCTACCTTTTTGGATAACAGCACAGACTAATATCATCCGAAGTTCAATGTGCTTCATGTCTTCTCTCTCAAATTGCACTGAAAAGAGCTGCAAAAGAAACTATTTTTCTATGTTCTCTTAATTTAGTGATCAAATGTTCAGAAAGTACAACTTACTTGGTTTTTTTTAGGTAAAGAATGACTTCTTCTCCATTTAACATAAACTGATATTGGACTTCAGATTCATATCTTTCCTGAAAATATTTAATGGCATAATTACACCAAATAGTTTATATTTCTGAGCCTACATAAATTAATTAAAATATAGTAGTAGATGTAGTATATACTAGAAGAACAATTACAAATGCATATAGTATAAAGTCAGTCCCTTATTTTTGAAAAATATGTCAAATAAAACATAAATTATACATTAATATGAACTTCTCAAAAGTACAATTACATGGTAATAACACTTGTACATTAAACTAGCTCTAATATGTGAGATAGGGACTTATCATTTACACTAATGTACAATACACTGTCCTGTACAGCAAAATGAATCACCAGTAGGATAATAATAAGGCATATATATTTCTTACTTTAAAACCAAACCAAATACACTGAATAAAGCCAAGCAACAACCCATTCATAAATAAGGTAAAAACGAGGGAAATATTTACAATAATGTAATAGTCAAAGAGATAATATGCATAATAAGTTAAAAATCCTTGTTGACTGCTGAGATAAAGTTGAATTCTCCGTCATAGATAAAATGGCTAGAAAAAGGCAATTCACTGGAGAAAAGGGGGTAGGATGAGGAAAAGACATGAGTTTGATGAGGCTGGCAAGGAACCGCATAATATTTTAGAAAAGGCTGCCCTGCCTGGGTTTCTTTTTTACCCTCTCTCACAAATTTGGAGAAATGTCCAAGCAACTTTATCCTTTCATATCAAGTGAAACAACTTTTACAGTTAAGCAACTCTCAGCTGCTTAACTGTAAAAGCATTTCGAGAAATCTTATGTTCTCTCTTGGACAAAGGAGAACTGCATATACGTGCTTAAAGGTGAAACTGATAAATGTTAACTGTGACATCGCTTCTACTAGTGAAAATGCTTTGTTGTTTTTTCTGATGATTGTAAAATCTACCACAGTCATTCACACTGCTTACCTCTTTGCCAGGCTCCTCTGTCTGGTTGTTCTTGATCTCTCTTTTGTGTAAAATGTGTAGTTTTTTAGGATAAACTACTTCATGGAGGTTTGATTCAGGTGCTTGCTTTATGGCTGTTACTGGAGAAAGAGAGATAATATTCATGTAAAAAATTTTAAAGTTTTAGTTATTGTGTTGTGTTTTGTTTTGTTGATTAGTTTGTTGATAGGATTTGAAAGACTAAATTCCTGTCTAGAGAGCAAACATTATGAGGAACAAGTTGATTCTTCTCCTTCAGCTTTGATGACAAGGAATTTTGCTTTTGCTCTCTACTCCATTCTGAAAAGACATGAAGATGAGAAAAAAAATATTTTGATGATCTCTATGTATGCAAACTTGACCATCATGCCCAAAAAGGGTAGGTCTTGTATTTAGAACAGGGGTTGTGTGAGTTTGGAATTCTGCCTGTAGTAATCCACCTCTTTCTTCCTTTACCGTCTTCTTGAAAATTGTGAATTTTTCAGAGACTTCTGTTTCTTCCTTTTTATATGTTTTTCCATCTGTGGTGAAACTACTTACTATTAATTTCAAAAATCAAATTTTTCATATGCAGGTAATACTTTATTTTTAGGACTCTATTAGCAGTTATTTTATCTTTCAGAGTGATAATAAATCATGATGTTCTTTCTCTCCTTAACATTTTCCCTCAAGACTTTAGATTGAAAAGAAATGAAGTTTTTTTTTCTCACTTGGAGGAATTTTAAAGCATTAGAAAGGAAACAAGGAAATTGTTTATAGACAAATTATCCTTCTTACTATACTTGAAATTACATTTCACAGACAGCTTTCCATTGTTTACAAATAGTAGGAAGATAACTGATCAAAAAGATATGGTCTTATGTCCTAGCTAAATGACCTTGTGGAAGTCAATTTGCCTTTGTATCAGTTTGTTATCTAATATATAGATTGGTGTAAAACTTGAAGAGGATAAAATATATCAAATTATTTAGTGCTATGCTAGGAAAATGGCAACACACTTTTCTATTTTTTCTTCTAATTGCCCAATTATTTATAGAAGGTCAGTCTTACTCTGAAAGCTCACATTTTCACATATATAAGTCTCTGTGCAAAGAGACAGTTTTTCCACTCAGTGTGACAATTAGACTGATCTTAGGGAAACCAAGTGATTCCACACCTGGCTTGTATGGAGAGCCTGAAAGTATATAGCAAACAGTAATTCTCTCCTAGTCAGCTCCCAAACTCCTGCTGTGATGCTGTCCTGAGAAGGATTCAGTACATATAAAGCAGAAAATCTAGAAAGGTATTGGTAAATATTCTTTTATCAAAAAAATAGGAATCTATTAGTGGAAAGAGTCACAGGCTTGAACTTAAAATGAATTTTAATAATATCTACTTCAAACTCTAGCACGGATTGTGCATTGAATAAATGGATTTTAAAAGGTTTCGTTGAACTGTATGAATGTGTAGCATAATGATTAATCTACTCATTTTTCAATTTTAACTTTCCTTTGGATATCATGTTATAGCTGGGCAAAATGAAAAATGTGTGAGAAATAGAAAGGCTAGAGCTAGCCATAATCTGCAAGTTTTGCTCAGTACCATTAAGCAAGCGATAACTGTGTGGGGAGCTTATATAACGCCTCAGCTATATGCCTCACCTGTTTCAGCATAGAATTTATGACAAATGACTAGACTTGAAAAGGTGCAGGTTCACAGACTAGCTTTTAACATGCTTATGTTGGGACCACGAGTCATGTCACCAGTAATGGCACCAATGGACTTAAAAGTTATTTATGGCACTGTACTTTTCTGTAAGCTCTGTCCTGCTCCCCAGTCTGGGGGAGGTGGAATTCCCTTTTCTCTCTCTAATCTACTTTTTAAATAAACCATATTTTCCCATCTAAAAAAAAGTTATTTGTGACATAATAAGAGTGTGTATAGGGCTTCCCAAATTGGTTCTTCTATCAATAATCAATCTCAAAGTGAGTTATTTTCCAAGAGCTAGCCCTTTTGACACTGTCCTTCCACTTTTGTGAATCTTTCTCAAGAAAATATCCTAAAATGCAGACGCTTTGAACAGCCTTGACAAAAACTTTATCTACAAGAAAAAAGATCTACTGAATAGAGAAATAAGTAACTTTTTAGTTATCTATTCTGGAAGATATTAATATTCTGGAAGATATCACACGAGTATACATCATGTATGTGTGGTTATGTATATTTATTTCATTGAGTTCTCTATTATTTATTAAAAGATATAATAATTTGAAAAAATGACAAGTTTTAGGATACGTGTTTTATGTAGTGTTTTAAAATATCTTCACTCAAAAAAGGATTTATATATGTGCATATATGTACATATAAATGTGTGTGTGTGTGTGTGCGTGTGCGTGTGTGTGTGTGTAGGTTTTATAGAAAGAGAGGTGGAAAATATACCAAAATGTAAACTGTAGTGATTTTGAGGGTCATAAAAGCATGTGCCATTTGTTTCATAAACATTTATCAAATGATCTGACTTTCATATAAAATGTCAATATGTCAGTGCTTACCTTGAGTTTGAACGACGAGCCAGAGTACAGAAAGCAGAACCCAAGACATGGTGGCCACTGCAGGTAGCTAGGAAGTCTCATGCAGCAGATGTGGCCTCCTCAGCTGTCCTGTTTTATCTTCCCCTGCTTCTCTAAAGAACTTGAAAAAGAAAATAAAAACCCCCACTTTTCTTGTGAGATTGGAGAATGTTTCTTAATGGTGTTGGGAAATTGTCAGACAACTGCAGTGTTAAGATCATGAGAATGTTCCTCATTTATGAGAGGTACTTACGTTTGTGGTTACATCTCTTTACGGACTCACTTGTGGACAGCTGTTTGTCCCTGGTGCTCCCACAGCAGTGGGAATGTATGAATTAGAGAGACTGAGGTGCCCGCATGAGTTTCTGCGTACTCACCAAGCTGGGTTCAGTACTCTTATAGAAATTGACCCACAAATTTAGAACATATCAGTATTATGCACATATTTTGAGAAGCTGGCACAGTGAAAACAGAAGCCAAAAAACAAGCACCACGAAAAATCCTACAAGCTACAATATTGTAAATCTCTCTGACTCTGTTTCCTTAGGTGTCAAAAGGGGATAATGATGACATCAGCTACCTAAAACTTTTTATAATATTCATATGAATTTATAAATACACATACATATGAACATAAATGTATATTTGTACAAAAACACAAATATAAATTATCTTGACAGTGTTAGCCTAAACCAAACTCCACAGCATATAAGTTCTACTTCAGAAAAATAACAATATTTCTCTGATTACAAAAATGATACATTTTCATAGTCATAAACATCAAAAAAGCACACTGAGAAAAACAAGTTGATTACCCAATGGCCCAACATCAATAAATAACTTCTGTTAAACTTTTGACAGTTTATTTTCATCTCTTTTAAATGCAGTAATAAAAGAAAAGAAAAAAATGGTAGAAAATTAATCTTATTATACAAAGGGTTTAAAAAGCTGGGTTTTTTTTTTGACATGGCACTACGTATAGCATGTCTTTTTATAATATTAAATATTAAGATATTTTAATGACTTTAGACTATTACACCAGGCACATGTTATGTGTGCATTGGGTGTATGTCATGTAATGCGTGGTTATATATATTTATTTCATTGAATTCCCAATTACTTCTATAAGATAGATTTCTAGAGGTGGTATTATTTAGCTAAGCAAGGTAAAACAACTTGAGATTGTTGGTCTGCATTGACTCAGTGCTTTTCAGAAAGTTAGTGCTAAACTAAATTTCCATTTATTGAATTTTTCCATCCTAAACACCTATGCTCTCTGACCGATGAACTTATCATTGATACACTTGGAAGTTTCCTAGTATGTGTTGGAGGTTTTAAAGTTCACTCTGTATGTCTAGTTTTCTTTTGGCTGTTTTTCTACTATCCTTTGAAATATAGGTCAACTTCAGCAACTGAATAAATTTTATAAATGACATCTTTCAGTTTGGTGGGTTGATGGTGGTTGCAGGCTGTTAACCCTTTAAAGACCAGAGATACATGTCCTGGTGTATCCTTCAGAAGCACAGCACTTTGAAGATAGTAGATGTTTAAAAACATTCAGTGGGCCACGCTCGGTGGCTCAGTCTGTAATCCCAGCACTTTGGGAGGCCGTGGTGAGTGGATTGCCTGCACCCGCGAGTTCGAGACCCGCCCAGGCAACTTGGTGAGACCTCATCTCTACAATAAATCAAAAAATTAGCTGGGCATGGTAGCTCATGCCTGTAGTTCCAGCAACTTGGAAGGCTGAGGCAGAAGGATCACCGGAGCCCGGCAGGTCGAGGCTGTGGTGGCCGGGAGCGACCACTGCACTCCAGTCTGGGTGACAGAGTGAGACTCCAACTCAAAACAAACAAACAAAAACCATTCAGTGAATTTATATGCCATAAAATAAATTTGAACAATAAACTCTCTTCTTGGAATGCTGAAGCTGTTTATTAGTTAGTTGACTGTCAACCTATAAATTAAAACAGTGGAAATAACAGTGAATAAATTGTTTACTCAGTGCATCTGGAAGGAATGAGAAATGGCATATATATGGACCATTATGAAGACAATATTCAAGGATTGACTAAACATAGGATTTAATTTATGATCCTAAAACTGAGAATTCATGACCAACATCCTGATTACAGAGAATTTTGTTCCCATAAAGCTTACAACTTAGCATTTTGAAATGTTTCATAATAAAGTAGTTTTTGATGATTTGGGACAGATGTTTAAATATTGTCCAACTAGAAATGAAGATAGAATAGTAACAAAATAAAAACTGCAATAATTCCTTGCACATGTAAAGATTTTTGCAAACATTCTTTTATTTGGTCATCATGACAATAGATATAAGTAGTCAGTTCAAAGATTATAATTCCCATTTTTTTAATATTTTATAGATGACTCAAAGAAGTTAAGTGATTTGCTTCAAATCACCCAGAAAGTCTATAATATTTATCTCCTAAGTCATTAAGGTGGGAGAAGAGGCGCTTGATATAACAACTAAAATATTTCAAATATTTTATTGTGAGAGACAGACTTTATGATTCTGCTGAAATATAGTCCCACACTGTCAAAACTTATCTATGGTTTTAAATATCATGTAGCAGTTTTCTTGGGAAGGAGGGACTATAGTGATTGCAAGGAGACATGACTGAGGCTTCTAGGGCACTGTTAATGCTATATTTCTTGACTGGACTGGTAGTACATGGGATATATGCTTTGTGAATATTCATTGAGCTCTTCCATTATAAATTCTGTGTGCTTTTCTGAATATATGCATGAAACTGAGATCATTGTATTTCATTACTATTTATGTAATAAGTAAAGGCATTATTTTAATAATAGGATCTCAGGAAATTTTCATTCTTGAAAAAAAAGAAGTCATTTCCAGGAACCACTACAATGTTTGGGCTGTTGTTATAAAATCTTTCATTAAAGCGAATTGTTACAAGTATGTATCATTTGGAATTTGTATATTTTATCTAGATTTATTCTGGGAAGAAACATAATGGTTTAACTCATTCCTAAGATTAACATCATTGATAAAACAAATATTAACTTCAAGTAAGAAATATATTAAATCTTGCCAACATGTTCCATCAGTCGAACATTTCTATAAACTATTCTGCAATTGCAGCATAAAAAGGTTTCGTGTATATTTCATTTTCCTTGGGAAAGTATTTGTAAATAATAAAAAGTCTATTAAGCAATGCAATGAAAGGCAAAAAAAAAAAGTAAGAAAAAAAGACTGCAAAATTATTAGAATTTCATTATATTTGAGATTTAAATTTTTATAAAATTTGTTATACTATAACCATACATAGTGATACATTTTTCTTACTGGATAACATGTAAAGAGATTGAATTAATCATAATACTTCATTCATAACACATTCTTATCAGTCCATATATGACCCACTTCTAAATAAATAAATATTAGAGTTAAGATTTAGTTTTTTAACTATTCATTTGACTATTTGTAAGTACCCTAAACCACTACAACTTTTGACAATAACCTTCTTATAACTATTGTCTATCTAAGCAACCCATCTATCTGCCTTCCTTTCCAACCTAAATTAACCATTATCTTGAAGGCTATGTTCATCATTTCCTTCATTTTTTCTTTACAATTGTATTGAATCTATAGTTCTATATATCTATTGCTGCATTAAAAAAAAACAAAGAAAAATCTACAACCTTTGTGGTTTTAAAATGGCAATTCATGTCTGAGGTTTCTTCACAGCATGGCAGGTTTAGAGGATTTCGACTTCTATGGTGGTGGTTCAGAACTCTAAGGTCCAAAGCAAAGTTGTGTGTTATTTTTTTATAATTTTTAATTTTAAATATGTGGGTTACATATTTAAAATAAATTCAGAGTTAGGTACAGATGTTTATTATGCAGGTACCCTTGTTGAAGAGGTGTGCCTCCACCTCTCCTGGTAGTTTCACACTCCTGACAATCCCACCCCTTCCTCTCCTGGCAGTTTCCCACTACTGCCAATCCCTTTCTTATAGTATTATGATAATTGTTCAAGGTCTACTTATGATTGATAACATGTGGTACTTAGTTCTTTGTTTCAGTGATAGATCACTCAGTATTATATACCCTAAGTCCATCCAAGTTGCTGCCAAGTTCACAATTTTGTCCTTTTTATGACTATGTAATATTCCATTATGTATATGTACCACATTTTTAAAAATCCAGTCCTCTTTCAATGGGCAGCACAGTTGGTTCCATGTTTTTTTGCTATTGTGAATAATGCTGTGATAAACATGTGTGTGCAGGTATCTTTTTCATAAAGTGATCTGAGTTCCTCTGGGTATATTCTCAGTAAGGGGATTGTGGAGTCATATGGAAGAACAAGTTTTAGATCTTTTAGGAATCGCCAAACTGTTTTCCACAGAGGTTGTGCAAGAAAAAAAAATAACCCCATTACAAAAAGGGCAAAAGATATGAATAGACACTTTTCAAAAGAAGACATACGATCAGCCAACAGATACACGAAAAAATGCTCAACCTTGAACAGTTATCATAATACTATAAGAAAGGGATTGACCGTAGTGTGAAACTGCCAGGAGAGGGGAATGGGATTGGTAGTTGAGGGAAAGTGCTAGGGGAAGGAGGGGCACACCTCATTAACAAGTGTACCTGCATAATCAATGCTTGTATACCTAACCCTGAATTGTACCCCACATCTTTTAAAAAATAATTAATAAATAAGTAAATAAGTAAAATGCTCAGCCTCACTAGTTATCAAAGAAATGCAAATCAAAATACACTGAGATACTATCTAGCTCCAGTCAGGATGGCCATCATCAATATCTCAAAAAACAACAGATAATGGGGAAGATGTGGGGAAAAGGGAACGCTTCTACATAGTTGTGTGTTCTTTTAAAGACCATGTCTCTACATGGCTTAGCACCGTTTCAGTCATACTCCATTGACCATAGCAATCACAAGCCACCAAGATACAGGAAGTTCCCTTTCATTCCTATTTTTTTCTGAAGGTTTTTTTTTTTTAATCACCTATGGGTGCTATGGTTTGAATGTTTGTGCTTTCTCTAAAACTCATATGAAAACTTAATCCCCAGTGAAGCATTATTAAGAGATGTGGGCTTTGGGGGGTGATTAGGTCATGAAGGTGGAGCTTTAAAAGGATCAGTGCTTTTGTAAAAGGGCTGGAGGGAACTAGCCGGACCCTCTTTCTTTTCTGCTCTTCTACCTTGTGAAAATACAGCACTCTTGAAGGTTGCAGCAGCAAGGTACTATCTTGGAAACAGAGACTGGGCCCT